CTTCTTTCAAGTGCATACCTCCACATTTCCAAGTTCTCTTCTACCTGTTCCCTGTTCTCACCACATATAACACTGTCATCTGAAAACATCATTGTCCACGGGGATTCCTTCCTCACCTCATCTGTTAGTAGATCCATCACCAGAGCAAACAAGAAGGGGTTCAGAGCCAATCCCTGATACAATCCCACCTCCACCTTGAAGCTATCTGCCACTCCTACAGCACATCTCACCACTGTCCTACTGTCCTCATACATGCTCTGTCTGTACTTGTCTAACATACTTTTCTGCCAATCCAGATTTCCTCATGCAATACCACACCTTCTCCCTCAGCAACCTGTCATATGCTTTTTCTAAATCCACAAAGAGACAATGGAGGTCTTTCTGACCCTCTCTGCACTTCTCCCTCAGTATCCTAAAAGCAAAGATCTTTCTTGGCATGAAACCATACTGCTGCTCACAAATCGTCGCCTCTTGTCCAAGTCTTGCTTCTACAACTCTCTCCCAGATCTTCATTGTGAGACTCATCAACTTAATTCCCCCATGCATTTCTGTACATCACCCTTGTTCTTAAAAATGGGCACCAGCACATTTCTTGTTCATTTCTCAAGCATTTTTGGTTCATTCTCTTTTTTGTCCTCGATGAAGATGGTCACTCTCACCCGCTATCCCTACCTCCTGCTTTTTTGCTGTCTTTTTCTATGAACCTCCTCACAGCCTCTCTTTACATAACTTCCGAATTGAAGATTATTATGAACCTGGTCAGCTGGTCTTTCAACGCAATTGATAATTTTTTTTCTACCAGACAACAGGGTCCAAGAGAATCCTCATGCCCTGAAGGGACACACATAACTGAATACCAGAGAGTCTGCATCAAAGAGATTTATTTGTCATTCGTACCACATGTGGTACATGTGGTAGACCAAAATTGTTTAAATATGGTCCCATTTACATCCAACAAGAAAATGTAAAATAAAAAACAGTTATAAGATCTAAGATATGAACTAAGAAAAAAATTAAATAAAAATATGTTAAGCACTAATTTAATAAAAACAATACGCCAATAGCAGCACGAATATGAGTCTGTGTGAGCAGATGAGCATGAATGAACACAGCAACATGAAATAGATCAGCAGCAACATGATGCGATTTTTTTCAAAGTGATTATCCTGATTCGATATTCATGAATCTAACAGCCTCAGGGTAGAAGCTGTTCCTCAGTCTAGTGGTTCTACATTTAATGTTCCTTAACCTCCTTCCTGAGGGGAGCAGGGCAAAAAATGTGTGGGCTGGGTGAGTGGAGTCCTTCATGATGCAGATGGCCCTCTTCCTGCATCTAGAAGTGTAGAAGTCTGTGATGGTGGGAAGCTGACTCCAGCAGACTTCTGTGCAGCCTTCACCAATCTGCAAAGCTTTTCTTTCTGCAGCTGTGCAGCCTCCATGCCACACATTGATGCTGGAGCACAAGATGCTTTCCACTGCACAGCTGTAGAAGAAGGTGAGGACTGAGTTTCCCTGATCAGCTTGCCTCAGCTGCCTGAGGAAGTAGAGTCTCTGATGAGCTTTCTTGATCAGGCTGGTAGTGTTGTTCCCCCAGCTGAGGTTGTCATTTAGTTGCACACCCAAATACTTGTAGCTAGAGTAGTAGAGGAAGTAAAAGATGCATACATAATTGGATTTATGATAACAGGGTTTCTGCTTTTTGGAATCAGTGGATACCTGGGTTACTGGCTAATAAGCAAGACGTCGGCAGCAGTTTTGGCAATAGTAAAGCTGCCAGCATATGAAGGATTATTCCTAGTTTTGAGTTCTCAGACTAATATGCTTTGCGAGCTGAACCGCAACGTGGGACACGATTTCTGAGAATTGTGGGCCACTTGCAGCTCCTAGGACTTGCTGACATGAAATAATTGATCTTGGAAAAGGCTAACAAGCACAGACCGGCAGAATTTCCACAGCTCTGGCTGTTTGGATTCGCCATTGAGTGTACCAACAAAACTGAAAGCAGATTTGCCAGTAGAATTTGCCTGCCCCAAACAAATATTATTTATCTGAATTTGGCCTCCCTGCTGGCCTTGGACAGGCCAGCTTATTGCAAATTGCTCCTGGAGGATATAAACGAGAACCTCTGACCCCCCACAAAGGACATATGTGGCTTTATCAGAATTGTACCGTTGATAGACACTGTACCATCATATCAGAACTTTGGAACTTTCTGGAGTGTCCATGGACAACTCACCGCCTTTGTTGACCTCTATGCATAAATTTATTATGATGTCATTGTATGTTGCTGTTTAATGTTGCAAGGTTTTTTTTGTTGCATTGTTTACAATGTGCCCTGGCCAGGACATGGTGTAAGACTGGATCTTTTTTGGCTTCCTCCACCCTTGTGTTCGATTTTCCTCATCTGCTCTATATGTGTCTCTCTTGTAAATGAGGCATCATGGCTCAATGGAAACTAACCTGTATAAATGTCTACTAATAGTATACATTTTTGTAGTGCAAAATATATCAAATGTAGTTTTAGCCATGTTTTAAACAAAAAAAATGTTGTTAACTCTTAACACTTTCCAGTCGTACTTAAGAAATGAACAGCAACAGAGCAGCATTTTACACATTGAAACACTTCACCCTCCAACCCTCTAGTGGGCGTCTCCTTCCGCTTTAATGGAGAGCTGACACAAAATGAGTCTCTGTGGCTTTGACCAGAGGGTCTCGCAGTAAAATCACACAACACAGCTTTCTTTTCTCAGATCAGAGAGCAGGTTTCTCTAAAGATGACCAACGCTTACTTTAACTTTCGACAGAAAAATCCCCAAAAAACTTTAGACGGAACACAGCATTTTGCGCATGCGTCAGAATACGGCAACATTACGGCAAGCCGGCTGTAGTTAGCTTGTAGCTTCGCTACTTAGCTCTCGAAGAAAAGACTTTAACGCCACTTGCGCACAGTCTAACTAAAAAAAAAGTAACGATTAAATCTGACAAGTCTGATTTTACTTCAGAAAGCATGACTGCGGTTAGCCAGTAGAAGACAGATCTCTATCGTAGGATAAATTTCTATAGTTTTTACCGTATATATCGCACATTCCTACTTCATACCCATCTGCTCACAACTGACTCATGTTCAGGTTGCTGTTAACTACAACTTATTTATATTATTATTGTTAGTGTATAACTTATATACTTGTATACTGTTTATTTTTATTTGCACATTTTATATTGCCTTTTTGGGTGTAACTGGGACTTTGAGAACACAATTTTGTTCCACCTTATGTACCACATATGATGCGAATGACAATAAATGCTTCTTGAACCTTGAACCTTGACTACAGTAAAAAGAGTGACCTTACAAGTGAGAATGAAAGGTTATGGCAAAAAGTTTGCATTAACAACATGGTGGCAGTTAGTATAGCTGTTAGCAAGAAGGTAACAAAGTCGAATGCCGGATGAGTACCTTTCTGGGTGGAGTTTGCATGTTCTCTTCGTGCATTCCTGGGTTTTTTCCAGGTAATTTGGTTTCCTCCCACAGAACAAAAGCATGCATGTTAATTGGTAACTCTAAATTGTCCTTAGGTGTAAGTGTCAATGGTTGTTTATCTCTACATTTCCCTGTGATGGACTTCTGATGTGTTCAGGGTGTACCACACTTCTTGTACAATGATTACTGGACATGAGTACCAGCAAACCTCACGACCCTGAAATGAAGATGTGCATAAAGATAATGGATAGATGGCACAAAGCAATGATACTTTGTGCATTCAGTGCCAACACTTCCTTATAGTTTAAAAAAAATGTTATTGGATCCTGTCTTGACTCCCTCTTTTAAGTTCAGGCTTGGTTCTAAACCATGTAAAGTGTGCAGAACTTCATAAGACATAATGCATACACTATGGTGTGATGAATAAACAGTTTTTCCAGGTTTTCAGAGTGTTTTCTGTGCTGATAGTGAGTTCAGCTTTACAGTACTCTTGGTGTTATAATCTATGGTTCCTCTGTTTATTCTTGCTGTGTTTCTACCAGTTCTTCAGAGGTTAAAGTTGGCATTGATGAGCTTCTGGATGTGACTGTCTCAGTGGAGAACAGAGGAGAAAACTCTTACAACAGTCACGTCGTTCTCACATATCCTGTTGGGCTCTCCTACAGGAAATTTACATCTCTGCATGTAAGATATCAAGTTGTTCAGTTGTTCCCTGATCAGGAGCTCCTGAAAGCCTGACAGATGTTTGGTCTTTTCATTCAGGGCAGAGTTGAGTGCAACTCCTTGGACAGTGAAGATGGGGAAACAAGAGGAAAGACGGACTGCACTGTTGACAAACCTATTTTCAAAAGCAACTCTATGGTTAGTTTTTTTACTCAGCTGTTTCTCTGCTCCACAGACTAAAAGAGGAATCTGATCCCTCTTGTTTGTTTTATTTAGGCTACATTCATTGTGTCCTATGGGTTCAATCCCAGCAGACAACTTGACCGGAAGATCTTTGTCACTGCAAATGCTAGCAGGTACTAAGTGATGATATCCTTTATTTTTGTTTATAGCCCTTGTTGTGTTTGATTGTGTTTTATTAATGTGCACTTTTTTAATTACACTTTTCTACTGTTTATTATATTTGCATATTTCTGGGACATTCAGGTGAACAACACTTTTGTCAATATATGCTGATTTTAAATGTTCCTACAAATAAGTTTTACTTTGACTACCGTTCATCTGTCTCAGGTATTGCACTTTGGTGCAGATCTTTGATAAATGTTGTCATATTGTTTTTAGTGGAAACCAGCAGCATTCCTCTTCAAGCAAATTGTACAAGAAGAGAGAGATTGAAGTAAAGTACAGCATTTTTATAACAATGGAAAGGTCAGTTTTACCCCAGTTCTGACACAGAACTGATTTTAAATATAATAATTTCAAGTTGGGTTATTCAACATTCAATAAATGCTTACAACATCTGTTTAGCTACATCAGCTACAGTAATTTCACATATGGAAAAAATAATCTACAAAAACCTCTCCAGCAGTTAATTAAGGTAAAAGCTTATTTCTCCAATATAAGTTTTTAGGATTATCTTCGGGCTCCTTGCCTTGAGTCTGAACCTCAACTTCATTATCATTAATTCTTTGAAGCCCTATTTTACTCGTATTTCCTCCAGGTCACAAATAATATCAGAGCTCTGAATTTCACTGTGGTGATCAGGGTTCCTGTGAAGCTCGGTGACAAAGACATTTGGGTGGATATGAACAGTTTGCAGGTGCAATATGATTTAAATCAACTTCAAAAGGCTCAAACATAGCAGTGAACTGACATGGGATTGTTCAATTTCAGATTACAGATTGCCAGAAAAGCACAGATGAAAAACCTGATGTCACAGATTTTATTGAGAGGATAAAGGAAAATAAAGTTGTGGTTAGTATACATTTAAAGTATTCCTGTGTAATAAAAGTACCTAATAAGAAATAACAGCCTTTCATACTG